ATTAAGCAATAATACCAATAATAATGCAAAGAAAGTAACATGCACATTGTCAAATAAGAGTATGTCTATTATAGAATGCTTTGACTCTGAGGTTCTTTACGAGGTTTTTGTTTCTAGTCCTTATCTTAAACATTGTTATTGTTATTAAATTTTAAGCCTTTAAAAAAAAAACAAAAGATTTCTGTTTGTGAGTTATACTCCAAAATTAACACTCAATTGATTGGAAATGAGATGTGTGAATTTAAAAAGAATAAATCTCATGACTCAGCAGTGAGACCTGTCTGAAGATATTGAGGTGCCCGGGGGGAAGGGCAGCCAACTGCAATAGCATTGCACAGAGCACTTGTTCAGGGACTATCAAACCCTATCTGATGGAGAGGAAATCTTTTTTTTTTTTATTAAATCATAGCTGTGTACATTAATGTAATCATGGGGTACAATGTGCTAGTTTTATATACAACTTGAAATGTTTTCATCTAACTGGTTAAGATAGCCTTCATGGCATTTTCTTAGTTATTGTGTTTAGACATTTATATTCTACACCTAGTAAATTTCACATGTACCCTTGTAAGATGCACCGTAGGTGTGGTCCCACCAATTACCCTCCCTCCACCCATCCTCCCCCTACCCTACCCTCCCTCTCCCTTTTCCCCTTCTTCTTGGGCTATATAGCTTTCTTATGAAAGCTATAAATTGGTTTCATAGTAGGGCTGAGTACATTGGATACTTTTTCTTCCATTCTTGAGATACTTTGCTAAGAAGAATATGTTCCAGCTCCATCCATGTAAACAGGTAAGAGGTAAAGTCTCCATCTTTCTTTAAGGCTGCATAATATTCCATGGTGTACATATACCACAATTTACTGATCCATTCATGGGTCGATGGGCTCTTGGGCTTCTTCCATGAGAAGAAATCTTGACTAACCAAACCAACATTGAGTGTCTGATCTGGCCATCAGCCACAAAAAGGACACAATTAGGGCATGGAAACACAAATGCTGTCCTCCTGCCGACATATGCTCCCCCCAAGAAACATTTCCTGGAGCTGGGTTGTTTGAGGAACAAGAAGGGGGTCATCTCCACAAGCCCCATCTGAACATGTCTGCCCAATTGACTATAGGCAAGGCCACCCTGACTCAGCAGATGTTATGACTTAGACTTCCACTTGGTGAAGATATTGTATCATCTCTTCATTTAACTCAGAGTTTTCCAATAGATTCATTACCTGTGTCAAGTTTTCACTTGTCCATAGAGGAAAAAACAAAAAGCACAGTATCGTCACCTTTCTCTCTCTTTTTTTTACTGCTAATTTATTGAATTTTTGATGTGTAGAAATGTCTTCCATGAAAACTCCAAAGTCTTGGTACCAAAGATATTTCCAGTGAAGTCAACCTAATTAATTTCCTCTATCACCGTTTTGATAGTGAGAGAGCCAGTTTTGACACTTACTTGACTTTTCCTACTTATAGGGAGTGAATGCACTGGCTGGCCATGACTTCTAAATATTCTGATTTGGGGGTCAGCTGTTTCTACTGACAATGAATAAATGGGCAGGCAGTATGATGTTTGGCCGTCTGCCTCAAGACTGTTTAATGTGAGCACGCCCACAGGAGAGAAGTCTGCTCTCAGGTTGCCATCTGGAAGACCAGGAACATCCTCTCAGTGTGTAGCAAATTCCCCATCCTTTGCTACCTCCCTCCAGCCCCCATCCTCACCTCTACCCCCAAAACAGATAAAGGAGTAAATAACAGAAGCTAATAAAAGTTCAACTTATCTAAGATATGATCTATTTCCTGCACATCATTCAAGCCCTTTAGCCATTCATATCTTTTGGTTAGAAGCAACACTTGACAAGTTTGAGCAGATCATACAGTTCTGAAATATTTCTCATATATATATAAAGCTTCAACATACATGTTATCACTGACCATGAATGCTAGATGATATAGACCACAGGGAATTCTTGTAGTTATTATCTAAGAAGTCTATGCACATATTTGTTTGATATTTCAATAAAAAACTATTGAGTGGACACACCAGAAACTAGTCAACACTGTTGGGAGTGGGACACAGTGGGGACAAGAAGGAGAATAAAACTTTCTGCTGAAAATTTTTAAATCATCCCAAATTTTGGACCACAGGAATATATTACCTCAAAATTTTAAAAAGCAACATTTGTATCTATACGAAGCTTCGTTCCTGTTGGAAGGTGTTGGCATGAAGCATATGTACAGGCAAGCCGTATTTTTGGTTTTCTCTGGGCCCTTACAAAGGATAAAAATAGATCCCTCCATGACCAGGAATTCACACGGATTAGTACGCATAATGACCATGTTTTTAAGTTTCTGCATGTGATGCTTTGGTATTTGGGGGCCATGGCGTCCCTAGACTTCCCCTCCCAGAGTTAGCCCTTTCCTGGAGATAATAAAGGACTCACCGGCTTAGCTTGTTCTTCACATGCAAACGAACCCCAGGGTCCACACCCCACCACCTCCTTTACTCTGAGACACTATCCACCTGCTCTAATCAACCCAGATCCCAGACAACTAGGGACAGTCCTATGTCCTACAACCTGCTGAAATTATTCAAACTGGCCTCTCCTGTTCCTTCCTGCAGAAACCACAACAGAGGCTCATGCTACATTCCCCCCTCGCTTCCCCTTCTCCCTCTGCCTCCTGACCCACCCTGGCCCTTCCCTGAGTGGCTTCCACAGCACGGCACACCCCCTCCCCTTGAGGTCTGCTGGCATAACAACTGTCTTTTCAAGGAGTGGCCTCCTGACCTGTTGACCTTGCCATACCTAAGAAATAAAATCTACATTTTAAAGCTTGAGTCTTGCGTGGAACATTGGTGTGCAGAAGGCACCATGGACATGGGACAGCAAAGTTCTAGATGCAATAAAAATGCTTATAATTTGACAGAATGCTGTCTTAAATGAAAACCCAAAACATGTTCTCTCCCCTGGAGGAGAAAGTGGTGAAGGTTAGGACACAGCACTCAGGGCAGTTTGCCCGCTACACCTCTGCATATATTTCTACTAATAAATGTTATATCCAGGAGAACTGTGTGTGTATTGAGCCCACGGTCTGCTCATTTAAAGTTTGTAGCTTGTGCTTGTCTGCTGTCCCACAGTGAGGGCATGTGTGGGACAGCGTGTCATCAGAAGGCAGGGCCCCAGCAGGGTTTACACTCCGCATCTTTCCCTTTAAGCAGCCTCACACCTAAAGCCCAGCATTTATTTACAAAACTACTGAAGAGGGAACTTCAAGAGTATTTGCTGAAAGCTCTTGTCAAAAAGAAAATTCAGGTGACTTAAATGATTTGATTGGCCAAAAAGAATTGTTTTAGTTACACACCACCCTGAAGCAGCCTGTCTGATAGAGTAAACGAGGTTCGTGACAGTAGCCTTCACGCAATTCTCAGTAATAAAAGGCGGCGTCCAGGCCATGGCTGCCAAGGGTCTCTTGGTTGCCAGGGCAGCATGAGGGAAGCGAGAGCAAATTAGGAGAGACACAGGTCTGTGCAGGAATGTGTGGGCAAGAGGGAAAATTCACACGTGAACCTGAAGTACTCTGCTGTCAGTTCTCTGAAAGGATGGCTTAGAGGCTGAAAACTCTTCGTTCTTTTACTTGGTCAAGTTTTTTCTTGTTTCATTTGTTTTTCACCAACACTTCCAAACTGGGTTATGTCACATAAAAAGTCAGACTTCCAGCTTCTATGAAAAAGTAGGGACCTGGCCATGCTGGGTGCACACTTCTAGGCAGAACAATGTGCTGCTGCTCCCTCCGTGCAGCGTGTGAGCTCCCCAGCTTGCCGCGAGCCCCACCACACTGTGCTGTCTTCCCACAGCGACGTTAAGTTATCATTGAGTTTACAGAAATATTTATTTGCATTACAGCTCCTCGGGGGAACATGAAGAACGGGCTTAGAAGACCAGGTTTTTCTAGGAATAAACAGAAGCCAGAGAATACTCTGATATATTTAATAGGACAACAAATGTCCAAACCTGACCCCCAACTTGAGTCCTCATTGTGCATTGACTGGGGACAGTGGAGCTCTTTTAGTAAAGGCTGAGGGGGGAACTGGGGGATCAAACTCAGGTCTTAACAGAAAAATATGGCCTGAGCAAAGGAAGCTGCCGTCACAGTAGCCAAATGGCTGAGAAGCAGCACCTCTGCGGACAGTGAGGCTAATCCACCATCCGTCACTGAAAGGTGGGTGGGGATGAATTGAACATGTGGATCCACTCTAACCTTCACTGCTAAACAAGCCTTATCCCTGTACAGAAGTGAACCTGACTCTGGTCATTTTGCCAACTGGTCAACTTTGGTCAGCAACCCCCTACGAGCCTGTCTGAAATCAGGATGCATTAAACCGAACACTGCAGGACGTCCAAGAGAAGGGAAATGCAAAATCCACAGAAATCCCATATGTTGTACAGCTGGGTCACAAAAGAGGCTTCCTGTGCCTGCAAAGAGGAAACTGGGGAAAAGGGAAAACCCTAAGTCAAAAACAAAACAAAACAAAACACCCAGCTGTTTGTTCATTTTTCAACCTGAACAGATCATTCCCTAGGGTGAGAACACAACCATTTCCTAAATAACAATGTAATAAGAGGAGGGCTAGGGCCCAGTCCCAGGGGTCAGCAGCTGATTTCCACCCCTGCCCTGGGCAAGGGACAAAAAGCCACTCACCTTTATACACAAGTATCATTTTTTTTAAGACTGTCTAGCTTGGTAGAGTGTCATGGCCTCATAGCTCACAGCAACCTCAAACTCTTGGGCTCAAGTGATTCCCTTGCCTCAGCTTCCTAAGTAGCTGGGACTACAGGTGCCCACCACAATGTCCAGCTATTTTTAGAGACGAGGTCTTGCTCTGGCTCAGGCTGCTCTCGAACCTGTGAGCTCAGGCAATCCACCCACCTTGGCCTCCCAGATGCTAGGATTATAGGCGTGAGCCACCGTGCCCGGCCAATATACAAGCATCTTAAAGAGACCAGAGTAGAGTGACAGATTTTTATTTAATTAAAATAGATTTAAAAGACTGTGTAAAAGAATTAGAATTCTCAATAATTTACTAGTATTTACATTAGCAAATGTCAGCCGTTAGTAGACACTGAGGATAGAAGCTCACGGAACCCAGACCCTCCCCTGGGGGCAGTGAAGCCTCAGCTCCCCCTAGATTCCCATCCTTTTAGGGTCACCGTGGCTACAGCACTGCGGAGGACAGGAGATGCACGTGGGCTTCCTTATCTCTTCAGGAGAATGTCACCTCTTAGTCCTAGCACAGGTGGGCGACCAATCCTAGCTGATGTCCCCTATCCCTGCAGCCAGTACTCCCTTTTTGAGCTTGACCACTCTTCTGGGTCGATCCAAGCCCAGTTTCCAGATAGAAGATGAAAAGCAAAAAGGAAAGGCCTCAAATCCCAGTTTCCAGGGAATCCTGTGTTTTCCAGAGCACGGTGACTTGTCAAAAATCTCCTGGGCGCCCCCAGCCAAGAAAAACGCTCCTCCCAAAAAGCAGTAACAGTGAGAGCGGAGCCGGCAGGGACCGTCCCCACTGGGCAGACCACATCCCTGCAGACACTGAGAGCAAGAAGCCAAGGCCCAGGGACAGAGAAGCAGGCTGGTGGGGTCACAGCGAGGGAGGAGACCCTCCCAAGCATAGGCCCTGCGGCCTCTGTGACCTGACCCCTGGCCACTGGAGACCTTGTCGTCAGCCCAAGCCACGAGATGCCCCCGCCACTTGCCCCACTTGCAGGACACCCAGCTATGGGCATGGGTAACCAGGGAGGCCTGGGACCTATGGGAGGTCCAGCAGCTTTAGCTGTTGGGTCCAGCATGGCAGACAGCGTCAGAGCCACAGTAAAGGGCTGAGGTGCAGGAGGCCTGATGTTGAGGCTCAGTCCAAAATGTCTGTCTCAAAAGGGACCAGGTGGTAATAGGACAGGTTGGTGACGTAAGCTGCTGGGTCATCCCCATCCTCCAGCTCTGAGGGGAACTCACTGCCATTCTCAAATCTGAAATCAGAAAAAACAGAGGTGAGGGCTGGCTCATCAACCCCAGCTGAAGTGGGGCAGAGGTGGCTGGTGGAAGGTGCTAAGGGATGGGCACCAAACCCCATGGATACTCAACAGCCCAGCGGGCACGGGGTCCTGAGGCCTGTTAGGGGGTGTTCAAGGCACTATGGGTGAGATGGATCCGACTCTGCAGCTGTCAGAGCTCCTAGCTCTTACTGCTCTGGAGACTGCTATCTCCATTGGTTTAGATAACGGTGAGTGAGGCCTTGTTTGCTCCATTTATGGAGCTACGACCTTCCCTCTCTTGTTCTGTGCCAAGCACTGTGCCAAGCCCTGAGATTGGCAGCAGGCAGGGCAAGGAGGGCCTGTCCTCAAGCAGAGGTGCCTACCTGGTGCTGGGCACCACAGACAGCACAGGGACAGGTGAGGAGAGCTCGTGTGGCTGTGGCTCCCAGCCTGACTGTGTGGCCAAGATGATGTGTGTGCTAAGGAGGTTGGGGCAGGAGGCCAGAGAGGAGCCGGCAGGCCGGGAAGGTGATGGGAGAGGCTGCTTTCTGTGGGCAGCGTTTGCCTCGGGCTCTGAGGACAAGGAGTGTTCAAATGTGGGGCCTCACGTGGGAGGCGGGGAGCTGAGGGAAGAGTGTGCATTACGAATGTAATGTGCACCCTTCTGAGATGGGTGTTCTGTGAGCTGGAGCTGCTCCCTCCCTGACCACTCAGACACAAACTTCTAAGCTAGAAAAAGATTCCAAAGCTTAAAAATGCAGAACTGAAGGGGGAAAAAACCGTAAGAAGGACATTCTCTCCAGGAAGAGAAACTGAGAGGTGCCGCTGTGCTATTTCCATTTCCCTCAACCTACGAGTTGGCCCAAACAAGGCAGGCCACGTGGGTGCGTGGGCGGAGGCAGGCTGCTCCCCACGTCTCCCAGGCCGGCCCTGCACGCTGCGTCCCTATGTCACTTCCCAGTGCCTTGCCCAGTGGGCAGTGGTAAGGCCCACTGTCAGAATGTCTGTACAGCTTCAGGGTGACCAGGAAGCTCACAGACTAACCAAACTGCACAGCTCACGCTAGGACATAGATGGGTCAGGCGGAGATGTGCCCTCACACTGAGTACATTGCGCAGAATCCTATGACCTCAAACAACAGCGCTGTGATGACAGCTTTAAAACAGAAAAGGCTAAAAGAGCAGGGCTCCGGGAGCACCAGGCCACAGCCTGGCCACAAAGAGGCCTCAAGCTATGGATATGGATATAGAGGTGGAGGCTCTAGGGCTCACCGAGAAGAGACTGACTCTCCAACTGTGTCCTAGGGAATTAAATCCCTTCCCCCAAACCAGTGCTGGCTGGAAACCCAAGCAGAGCCCTGGACGTGTGGGCAAGGCTCAAACCAGGCAAGGGCAGGGCAGCAGGGGTGGCCCCGACAGCTTCTCACCACCGGTCCCGCCCTTCCCACCCAGGTCTGCATGCCCTCCACAGCCCCCTGCGGAACTGCCAAATGCCTGGCCCTGGTGATCTCCCAGCAGCTGGGCGTTGCTTTAGCCAGCCAGGACAATCACCAGCAGAGGCCCAGCTGTCCCCACTAATCCCATGTCCACTGGGCACACCCGTTCTCTGAGTACAGTAGGGTCTGTGGTCTCTGGGGCCAGAATGAGGGCTGCCTGCTGCAATCTGCCATGTGAGCCTCACCACAGACCTGAAAGCTCTGGATTCCGTCTTGGGCCAGACAGTGAGGCTTCCAGCTCCACAGACAGCATGTCCCCATGACCCCCAGCCCTGTGTCCCTACTACCACCGGCTTGACAGCCCATGGAGTGCTGAAGCTCCTGAGAGATGCATTGCAACCAGACCATCAGCTCAGGCGCACTGCCCTAGATTAGGCAGCCAGGGAGATGCCTGGTGAGCCCGAGTCAGGAATTCCCTCTAAATGCTCCCCAGAGCTGCTTAGAAGCACATGTTGCTTTATGAGGCTTTCATGGGATCATGGAGATTTTCCCTGGCTCTCTCTCCCCCCAAGAGACAGGCATCCTGGAGCAGATGGCCACCTACTCTAGATTTGTCATGCCTGTCCACACAGAGCTCAGGGCAATGGGGAAAGCCAAGCTTCTGCCCTTTCTCCTCAGCTCAAAACTGTTACAGTTGAACCCGCTGCTTACATCTGGTCTTATTCCAGGGGGCTGAGGGCCTCTCCACTGGGGATCCTGGCAGAGTCAGAGCTAGGACCTGCCCAACTGGATATGAAGAAGGGTCTCTATCTCCTTCGCCAAAATACTCCCCCACGAAGCCAACAGGCCCTCCTTCCTTTCCTCTGTGAATACACAGCCTTGCACTTACATTCCACGGGGCTAGCTCTGGTGGCACGGAACTGCACTGGTGATGTGAACACAGGAGCTGTATATGTGGTGCTGCACTGTGCGGGGCAAGGCAAGGCATGCCAGGGGGAAGCGGGGTCACAGCCTCCCACCAGCAGCTCATGACACCTCCATTGCAAAGTCTCTTACACATTTACCCAAGAGACTCCCTAGGAACTGAGAAAGTGGGGGATGCTAGCCAGTAACAGTCCCATAAGCCCAATAGGGGTCCCCACTGCTCAGAGCAGGGGTCCAGCAGAGGCGGCTCAGGCCACCTGCTGGAGCCCAGGTCCGTCCTGGTGTCATGATGTCTCCTGCAGCCAACTGGTCCAACTGGCCCAGAGGTAGGTCTTGGCATATGTACCTGGCCAAGTCCTCCCTTTTATCTGCTATTGTGGTGGGCTAACTAGTAGGTGACACCGGCCTGAGCCAATCCTAGGCCCACAGGGAGACTGCAGCCAAAGCTGTCTCTGCAGGGGGTTCGCCATCAGGCATTTTATACTCATCATTACTGGTCTTCAAAATGGCCCATCCTGAGAGAACAGAAGTGTGCCCCTTGGAGGTAAGAGAAGCTAACAGATGTTAAGTCACTTTCTGAACACACACAACCAAGAAGCAGCCTGTCCCAAGGACAGGAGGCTGATGTGGCTCAGTCCCGGGGGAGCAGACTAGGACCTTTGAGTGTGGGGAGTGTGGCCTTCCTGGCACCGGGCCCTAGGTCTGCAGCCAGTGCTGCACCCCTAAAAACCCCAGCATGAGCCAGGCCCTGGAGCCCTGCAACTTCTACAGGCCCCTCACAGCCAGCAGCTCCATCTTTCTGCAAGGTTTAAAACTCAAATCTCACCAGACTTTAGAAAAGGCAAACTTTAAAACCAGTATCCAAATATGGACAGGGAGTGCTGGGTAGCTCTGGCACACCCACCTCCTTCTAAATGGGTAGTAAGCCCTAACCCTACATAGGCTGGTGGCTAAGGGATCTTTCTACAGAAAGATATCAAATCAGTATACTTACAAGTGCTCCGTAGGATCCACGCCCAGGTGCTGGTCTTTTCCGTTTGGTATACTGTGGTCAATAACTATCGTTTCTGTATTTGCCAAACAAAATCCATTGGACCTCATGATTTCTGAAAACAAAAGCCATAAAGTGAGTATATAGGAGGGGTGTGAGTTTGAGGTTTGGAGTTTGGGGGCTTATACCAGCCTTCCTCCTGCCCCCTCCTATTGCCTTCTCCTCTACACTTCAAGAGACCTCTCTGCACACGAAGACCCATTTCAGAGCTCTGCCATGCAGAAGCATGGCCAAAGCCAACCCCATGGGAGCCACACCTGCTGACCTTATGCGAGCTGAGAGGCATGTCTTTCCCCAAACAACGATGCCCTGGCAGTCTGTGCTTAGAGCAGAGGTAGAGAGGAAGAGTACTGGACTCACATCTGAGAGTCTGCGTTTGAGACCAGACTGGTTCACAGGGACACATGGACTCTGTGCAGGTGACCCCACCCCACCTTCCTGGCTCTCACAGCTGACTGGAAAGGAATAACAGCAGCTACCTACTTGGGTGGCTGTACAGATTGATTGAGATCAGTGTGCATTTGAAACCAAGTGGGTGATTTTTTTACTGTTTTGCTTTATATAATTCTGAAACTAAATGAATTTCTTCCCAATAAGCACCGCTTTTAGAAATTTAGAAAAGCCAACAAAGAAAATTTCCTATGTCTACATTGGCTGCATGGCGTTAGCGCTGGAGGGAGGAGGAAATCTGGTGCTTATCCATGGAAGAGTTGGCGCAGACAACGTGCAGCCTGGACAAGGAGCTCTGTGCCCTCAGGACTCAGTCTCTTCCACTGGAAAATTTCCATATTGTATTAGAAAATCTCTGAGGGTCCTTCTAACTCTAAAGTCCCGTGCACTCCTTGATTCCATCATGCCATCTGGTCGGTCCATTTAAGCATAAAAAGCAAGGGGGCTTGATTCTCTCTTCCTACTATCTGCTGTAGCTTTATTTCTACTCTCCAAGGCGCTGCATTTCAGTCCCCTCCCTCAGCAGATGAGCAGATCTGGTAACCATCCCCATTTCTCCTTGCCAGTGAAATCCTCCAGCTCCCTGTGAAGGTGGCTCATCTCCCAACCCCAGCTCTGAGTCAGTGGAGCCCCACGCTCAGGACCACTTCTGTCCTTGCAAATCAGGACCTCTACTGACCTCATCATAAAAGTCATGCTTCAAATATACTCCACGTATTGGAGCCTTCTCAAACCTGAAGGATTGTCATCCTCCCATTCAGGCCCAGCACACAGATACACACAGCTCAGCAGAGGCCCTTCCTGCCTCCTGGTGTGGCACGCTAGACATGAGCACCACTTGTCACCCGTAGTGTTACTGGGCGTCTGATGCCTTAGTTATTTGGGGATTGTTTCCTTTATTTTTTTTTTTCCCCTGACACCTTACCACAACTTAGATTGGTTTAGCTCAAGTGTGAATTTGCCTTTTTTTGTAACTGAAGTTGTCATTTTCCATTTATTTTTAATCTTTCTAGGTATTTGGTTCTCAATCCTTTGTACTCTCTTCCACAGGAAAAGAATGAGGGGCATACATGACACAAAAATGAAGAAGGAAAAACAGATTTTCTCCTTCCCCTCCTAAGAACACAATGACAATTCATCGATCACATTTGCTGAGTAACTGATACAATTTCCACTTGACTTTCCAGAGAAGGGGCCACTTGTGTTTCACAGGAGTGTCAGTTCTCAGCTCTCTGTCCCTCCCTCTCCGGACCACCTGATGGGGCTGCCAGTCCTCAGAAGGAGCTCTGCACACCCATGAGGAGTTGGTGCTGGACTTGGGTCAACTACATTTCCAGGTGCAAGAAGGGCAAAAAGAAGATGCTTCCTAAAGTCTGGCTGAATAGGCAAGACTCTGACAATTACTAAATCTTAACAAGATAGATTCAGCGTCTCTCATTTCTCAAATTAAAATGGATGGCAGCACAGAACCACTTTCTTTATTGTTTTTATTAACTCTGACCCAAATCTGTCTTTCTCAGGAAGCACAGAAAACCTCAGAGCAACCTCCGTATAGCTAGTTGACAGCCCCCATCCCCTTTCTCCCACCCCTTTTCCAAGAAAATCAGAGGGGGAGAGGGACAAGTTAAAAGAAATGTCACTGCTGAACAAAATTCTGAAGAGTAACTGCGCATATCTAATCTTTCTTAAATGTGAACTTTGGAACCCTAGAAAATGGAATCTTTATCAGCCCCCCAAATAGATTTGTCAGATCATTGTCTTGTCACTGCCTATAACAAGAAGTCTTTGTGCAGATAAATGTGGCTTAATTGTTTGCAAGTCTGGCTGGGCCCTGGAGGACACTAGATATGTCTGGTGCCTCCTGCACGGCCCAGCCCAGAGAAGGCCTCACTTAGATATAGCACATGTCACCAAAGATGGTCCCCAGAAGCTCCCTCCTGGATCCCACTCCAATCTCTTATTATTCTACCACCTTGAATAACATTGGAGCAAACCGGGCTATACAGCTGGCAGGTTTTCAGTGACCTTCAGAACACTTATCCCTAAGTGACTTGGGTAATTAATTGAAAAGCAAATTGTCTTTTAATACATAAGCAAGTATCAGACCACAGCACACGTAAAACCTAGAGAAACAAGCACGGCTTTTCTCTGCCTGTGTTAGTTAACAATGGAGCACAGAATCTGCGACG